GAGGCCCCGGGGAGGAGGGAAGTCAGCCGAGCTCTCCTGTCCCGACCGACCCGCGGGGACGCCAAACCAGAACTTTGGCCTCAAGTTCTGGTTCGCCTGGCTTGCACAATTCACTACCTGTTGAAGGCGTAATTCACAGTTTTCCTCCTGGTCTTGGGCCTCCTGGATTGGATATGCCTACCCGGCCGCTTTGCCCATAGGCTCAGCGCCAGCGAGACGTTTCTCCTGTTCCTCATTTTGCCGGGGGCGACGTCAGGTAAGAATCTTGTCCGGGTTCTGGCTTTCCCGGCGGCGACTGGTCTCAGGCTCCTTGTCGACGCGTGAGGCGTCGCGCCCTGAAGCGCCAGGCGGTCGCCGGTCTGTCGAACCGGGCGATCTCCGCTCTCAACGCATTGGCAGGCTGCGAGCGGGGGTCTTCCGCTGGTCAGCCCTGCCTTGGGCGTGCCCCGCAGGCGGCGGTGCAGCGACGTGTATATGCTGTCTCCGTGGCGATGGGTCCGCCGCCATCTCTCGCGCCCTCGGGGGCCCTGCAGGAGCTCCGGGGGCGCGCGGCGTGCGAGGACACCCAGTCCACCGTGGTACCCTACGACGAGTTGAAGGCCTCCCTGCCGGCGAGCGGCAATCGCCCTGTGCCGCTAGCAGAACTTTTTGGGGCCGGTGGCCAAAGTGAAATCGACGGGCTCATCGATGCTCATCTTCTCGAACAAGAAGCAGCCTCCCTCAACCTGAAGGGCGCCCCATCGGGAGACGCACGTGGATGAGGTGCTGCGAAGCTCTCCGCGCGAGTACCAGCGGCTGATCAAGAGGCTTGAAAAGGCTGGGATGATCGACTGCACCGCTTAGCCGCTGGAGTTTTGTTGTTTGTTCTTTGCGAGGAAGAAAAGCGGGGGCCAGCGGCTAGTTGTCGACTGCCGCCGGTCCAACTGCTGGTTCACGCCGGCGGACCCCGTCGAGCTGAGCACTGGAGCTGCCCTGGGCAACCTCGAGGTGCCGGACGGGGCCGCCCTCTACGTGGGCCACGTGGACATCAAGGATGCCTTCTGCCACTTCGAGCTGCCGGGGAGGCTGCGGAACCTCTTTGCGCTCCCGGCCGTGCCGGCCTGGATCGCTGGGCTCGCTGATGTGGGTGGCGCGAGAGTGAGCCCGGGCGCCCCTGTGTATCCCTGGCTTCGCGTGGTGTCCATGGGCTGGCGACGTGCTCTATGGTTTTGTCAAACCCTTCATCGGCGTATCATCCAGTACATTCTGGGCCTCGAGGAAGCCTCCTTGCTGCGCGACCGAGGGCCAGCGCCTGCGACCGCCCCTGCTTGCTACACCGTTTATATCGATAACTTTGGCGCTGGGCACGCGTCGTTCGACAGTCGAGGGACTCGTGGGACAGGTCGATGCAGATCTGCAGCCCCGGGGCTTACCGACGCATGAGGTCGCCACCAGCTCTCTGGAGGAGGAAGTCCTTGGGTGGGAGATCAATCGGAGGCTTGGCTTCATTCGACCTCGGCCGGAGCGTGCTTGGCGCATATTTGGCCCTCGACGGCTTGCTAGAGACCAGGAAGGTGTCCGCCCGGGGCGTCGAGAAAGTTGTGGGCCACTGCACCTTCCTCGCTCTCCTCTGTCGCACGTCGCTCTCTATCTTCCGGTCAGTCTACACCTTCATCGCCCGCCATCGCGATCACGGAGCCGTTATATTCTTGGAATCTGTCCGTTGGGAGCTCGAAGCCTTCAGATATATCCGACCTCTGATTCGTCGTGATTTCGGGGCGTCCTGGAGTTCGAAGGTCATGGCATCGGATGCTTCGTTCTGGGGCTACGGCGTCGTCTCTCGAAGTCTTCCCCCGTGAACAGGTTCAACAGCTGGGGCGTGTAAGTGGACGATGGAGATTCTCGGGCAGGGCTCAGACTAGATCTCGTGAAGGGGTTCTGGGGCCGGACGGGGATCACGGCGTCGTCGATTGGGTGAAGGAGGTGGAGGAGGACAAGAAGGAGAGGGAGGTTGCCCGCTCGGATCTGCCGCAGGTCTTAAGGAACGGGGGTGGGCGGTTCTCATGAGCAAGAAGTGGTCGGTTCCCATTGCCAACATTGTCCACGGAGAGGCTCGGGGCCTCACACGTGCTGTCAAACACGTGTGCCGCTCCATGAAGATTTTCGGTTGTCGTCGCCTGCTCATGCTTGACTCCCTTACTTGTGTGCTGGCTCTGTGCAAAGGACGGTCCTCGGCCGTCGGGGCGTGCGCAGCCCTCCGGTCCGTGGCCGCCCATGGCCTTGCCACGGGCGCGGTCTTCGCGGGCCGCTGGTTCCCCAGCGAGTGGAACCACGCCGACGGTCCGTCGCGGGGGCAGCGCCACTCTGGCTACGGAGGGGGAGACGCCGCTGCTGAGGAGGGTGCACCCAGCCGTGGCCGACGCTCGTGGCGCCAAACCAGAACTTCGGCTTCAAGTTCTGGTTGGCCGAGGACACCCCCCCCGCCGCGCGCGCCCTCGCGGGGCCCGCGTGGCGCGGCGCAGGCCGGGCGCGGGGTCTCGCGGGATCCGCGGGGCCCGGCGAGGGAAGCTCCGCTGCTCCGCAGCGCGGCGAGGCAGCTGAAGGCGGCGCGGCGAGCGCAGCGGCTGCCGATTCTGGCGCGGGAGCGCTATCTGCAGGAGAGGTCAGTGCGGACCGAGGCGGTGCGCCGGCGCTATTCGGAGTTCCTCGGAGCTGGACCAGTGGCTGGAGGTCAACGGTCTGCTGCCCAGGCCGTGCCCGAGCGGCCGCCTGGCTGCTGGGACAGTGGACGGCTTCGACCACGACGTGAGCGACTGGATGAACGAGCAGTGCATGGAGGGCTTCGACCACTAGCGCGGGGCGAACGCGCTGGCGGCCATTGCCTGGGCGGACTCTCGCCTTGGCCGAGCGGGGGGCCACGGGCCCCCCCAGTCGCGGCAGGCGCTGAAAGGCTGGCGCAACTTGATGCCGGCAGCCAGCCGCCTGCCACTCTCAGCCGAGGTTGTGTTTGCCATTGCGATGGAGCTGCTGGCCATGGGTCGCTGGGACACGGCGATGTGCGCGATGCTCTCCCTCGAGTTCCTCATGGGGCCCGGCGATTGGAGGACCGTCCGAGTGGAGCACCTGGCGCCGCCTGCTGTGGGAGGCAGCCGCGGGCTCGCCCGCTGGAGCCTAGCGCTCCACCCGCTGGAGGACGAGACGAGCCTGCCCAGCAAAACGGGGGAGTTCGACGAGTCGCTCTTGCTGGACCTGGGCGAAGACCAGTGGCTGGGACCCCTCTGCCAGCGGCCCATCCAAAGCCGCGATCCTCAGGAGCCCCTGTTCGCGTTCAGCCAGGCCGAGTTCGCCCTCTGCTTCAAGAGGGCCGGCGCCCGCCTGATGCTGCAGCGGCCCCCGCCGCCGTGCATTCTGCGGCGCTCGGGCGCGAGCCGCGACTTCGCCGAGCAGAGGCGGACGCTCGTCGGCGTCAAGCGCCGACGGCGATGGCGGACGGACGCGAGCGTAAGGCGGTGCGAGAAGGGGGGCCGGCTGGGCAGCGAATGCGCCAAGCTGCCCGTGCGCCTCCAGACCCACGCGCGGTGGTGCCTCAAGTGCCTCCCCGCGGCGCTCTCCGGGTCGCTGCCGCCTCGCGCGTGCCGCGCCTTCGGAGGCTGCGGGTGTTTCTGGAGGTCTTTGCTGGCACAGCTCGGCTTGGTCGAGCCATGGCGGCGCAGGGCTCCCACGTGCTGGCATGGGATGTGAAGTATGGCGAGCAGTATGATCTCACGAGCCCCTTCAAGCGGTCCCTGATACGCGGATGGATTTTGGGACGTGCGATTCTGGCTGTGCACTTTGGCGTTCCCTGCGCGTCGTGGTCTCGGGCTCGTGACATCCCTCCCGGTCCTCCGCCGTTGAGGTCCAACGATCGCGTGATGGGGCTCGACGGCATTTCTGCCAAGGACCAAGCCAAAGTCGACCTCGGAAATTGCCTCATGTCCTTCACTGTCTCCTGCCTTCACGTTTGCCGGATAATGAGGATTTCAGGCACGATGGAGAACCCCGCCACGAGGATGATCTGGCTAGCCCCTGCCGTCGCCTCACTCTCCCGCATTCTTGCCTCGCAAATCGTCTCGACCGATTTTTGTTAATTCGGTGCGCCCTGGAGAAAGCGGACGAAGTTATTGGGCGTCTTGATCGATTAAACTTCGATCGAGAAGCTGTGTAAGAGGAAGAACAAGCTGTGTTCGGCCTCTCATAGGCCGCACCAAAACCTCCAGGGTAAAAACTCGGAGGGCCGTTTCTGGACAGAGGTGGCGGAGCCATGCCCCCCTCGGCTGTGTCGGGCGTTAGCTTTCGCCTTTTCCGAAGCTCTCGTCGCGCTCAAGGCGCAAGGTATGGCCCGCCATCTCTGGTAGTTGTTAGTAAGTGAATTTTCATGCGGCCCTCTGGGCCACTGGACAAGTACAGTTGGCTCTCCTTTTCTGTCAGTGCGGATCTGGTGGCTGGCGCCTGTCTCATATATGAATGTCGGTGCTGGCCTGCTCACCGGTCCTGGCGGAAGTTGAGCCTCTCAGATAAAACATGTCCTTGGTCTCTGAGGGTGGGATACATTGCAGTGTCCCACACGAGTTTGTATAGCACCCTCTTGTAAGCCGTCCACCGTATGTTCCTACCTCTGCTCAAGCCTCCCTCCCGCGTGCCACCCTGCTCTTTCAGTGCTGTTCCCAAATGATATGGTGGCCGGCGCCTGTCTCATATATGAATGTCGGTGCTGGCCTGCTCACCGGTCTTGGCGGAAGTTGAGCCTCTCAGATAAACGATGTCCATGGTCTCTGAGGGGTGGGATATATATATATATATATATATATATGTATATATATACACGCATGTATATATATATATATATATATATATATATATATATACATATTCATATACACATATATATATATACATGTGTGTGTATATGGGTAGGGGCTCCCGGGCCCCCCGAAGTGCACTGATTTGTCTTCTGGCCGTTTCGGGCCTGGCGGGGGGCGCCA